AATCTTATAACTTTTCCCCAGCCCTTGCTGGAAAAAGGATCTCATGCAGGATTATTGCAACAGCTCCCCTAACAGGTCTCCCTACTTCCTACATCTACCTACTCCAAGACCCCCTTCACGAGGCTGTCAGGTTATTCTCCCTACACACACTTAAATAACCCCAATGTTCAACAGGCCTGCAAACTTCCCTACTGCTTACTCAATTATTTACAAAATTTTAATTTGGTGCTCAACACCTTCTATAACTTAAAATCATTCGGTGTTCTCTCTTCAACCTAATCTCCAACCAAAGTGAATTACTCATCATATCCACCTCCAGGTCTTTACCCAGCCATCTTCAAATCTTAGACCTCTTTCTCCAACCTCTGCCTGTTATAAACAAATCATTTGCTGCTTACCATGTGTTTCAGACCACATCTAAGCCTTTGTTCAGGATGTTCTTTCACATCTCACATCTGCTGCTCCTCCACTTGGCTAAAATTTACCTACTCTTCAAGGCCCAGATCAGTTCAGCCTCTCACCTCCAGCAAGACGGAATCTCTCACTCCCACAGGTTGGACTAAGCAGTGAGTTTCTCAACAGAGCTGCAGCATTCCTTGGGGCAATGGTTCTCAGCCCTGCTCACAAATTAGATTCATCTGGGGAGCATTTAAAAATCCCAAAGCCCTGTTTGCATCTAAACTAATTAAATCAGAATCTCTGCAGATGGTACTCAGGCATCAATATTTTTAAAGACATCCCTAGATGATTCCCATGAGCAGCGAAGGCTGGGAATCACTTCAGGGACCACCAATGGGGAGGGCAGAGGACAAAAGGTGTGGCTTCAAACAGAGTAACTTCCTCTAGAAGAAAGGTTCCAGGTCTAAAACCTACTCATTATTGACATTATCTGCATTTCCCCCATCTCTTCTCATCTGAGATCTTGATGTACTCACCTTACATGTTTTGTGAATGCAAGAGCCAAAAGTGGATTATCACTGGTTTTCAGATCCTTTCAGACAAAACCTCTTTGGACTCAATTGAACTAAAAGGAATTAGGCAGGGGAAAAAGTAATTGCAAATTATTTCTCCCAGATCTCTTCACCTCACTCTGAATCTTCTTCTCTCAGGAAGCTTGTCCCAGTTTGAGTCTCCTCCCACCTTACCTCAGCTCCCTCCCAGCATGTTGCTCTTGGCCCTTGTACCCTATTAACAAAGACACTGTCCTCCAGGAGAGGCTCTGACCCCTGTAACTTCTCCTTGGAGCTCTGATTCCCCATGACTCCATTCGGGGTCACCAATCCTTCTTCGTTCATGAAGATCCAGTACCTCCAATGATGTTTCTCTCCTCTCCCCAGCCATTCACTCCCTGGGGCAAATCTTTGACTCGGTTGTTACCAATAACTGCCACTTGTCAAAATCTCTTCAGTCATGTGATGCCACCCCCTCATCTGCCCAGAACCCCCATTCCAAAATTCTCCATCCCTACCCAGACCTCCCATCCACTGACTCTCTCACTCTTCTTTGATATTTGATCCCCTCAATTTCTCACATCCCTCCTTACCCAGTGTAGGACCCCAGGTTCAACACTATAATCACCTCTCAGCCCTTGCTCCTTTCTCTCCAACATATTTTATTCCTGGTTAAATCCAACTCTGCCTGCCTCCACACTTGCACTCAACAACTAAACACATCTGGGGGAAAACACTCGTACTCACTGGTCTCACTGCCTGTGGGCCTTCATTGTGGCCTGCCAGCCCACATTTCCGCGGTTGGTTTGCATTCCCCAAATCTGAGACCACAATTTCACAAGATGACAACCTTCCTTTTTATTTCAGTGAGAAAATAGAAACTGAGAATTTCCTCATGGTCTCATTCCTAAATTTACCAGTCCATTGTGTCTCTGCCATATTCACTGACATCCCCTCATTACTGCAGAGAAGCCGACTTGCTCCCAGCTTCACCTGTCTGTGCACTGCAACCCAGTCCCTTCTCACCTGAGCAGAAACAGGCTCTTGAAATGATTCTCTATCTCTCCCACATAATCTGTTTTCCCCTCTTTACTAAAACATTTCCATCATCATAAAAACATAGTATAATAATAAGTTGTCTTTGAGAAGAAATAAGAAAACCTCACTTGCTACTTGCCTAGTAGTAAAAGCACAACATTCAGAAAAGTGGTTACCCTTGGTGGGAGGGGACACATAGGGAGGGAGCTTCAGCAACAGCGGGGAGACTTTCTTTCTCAAGCTGCATTATGTTCATTTACTTTGTGACATATATGTGCCAAGACTGAGAAACCCTGGACTAGACCCATTAGTAACATTTACACAGCTGATCACGCCTTCCTCCTTGAAATGCTTTTCTTCACTTTAAATACTCTTTCTGGATTCAACTAAAGAAAGTCTTTCTTAGTTTCTTATTGCTGCTCCTTGTCTCCACTGACAGCTTCTATTGTCTTCCGGACTCCTAAATGTTAGAGGGCCTCAGAACTCTGCCCTTGGCCTCTCCTCTACCCTAGTCAAGCTCCCCTGACTAACCCCTTAACTGGATTTTCTGCTTCCATTTTTGACTGCTACAGTCCTCCCTCCATGCAGAAACCAGAGTGATCTTTCAAATTACCAGATGATATCATTCACCTAGCTCAAACCCTCTGATGGTTTCTCAATCACACTTAGAACAAAATCCAAACCCTTATCCTGGCCTGCGAAGCCTACCTAGCCTCCTTCCTCCCCACCTCGCTGACTTAATCCCCACCTACTATTTCCCTTCCTTCCTCTGCTCAACCCACTCTGGTTCCCTTACTGTTCTTCCAGCTACTATGAGAGGTTGGCATAAAAAATCCAATTCCTTCCTGCCTCAGGGCCTTGGCGCTGCTGTATTCTCTCTGGACACATTCCTTCAGATACATGTGTGTGTGTGCTCCCCTTACATCATTTATGTCTGCACCAGTATCACCTCCACAAGGAGGCTTTCCTCATCACTTGATTAAAAATAGCATTGTGCACATGTGGGAGCATTTTCTAGCCATTCCTTTACCCTGCTTCATTGTGTTTATATCACATTATATTATTTTTTATGTAATCATTTATCTACTACCACCTGATTATACAGAATTGGCATTATATCTCCTGATGGATTTTTTAAAAAGATTTTATTTATTTTTAGACAGGGGAAGGGAGAAAGAGGAGGAGAAAAACATCAGTGTGTGGTTGCCTTTCTCATGCCCCCAACCAAGGACCTAGTCTGCAACCCAGGCACGTGCCCTGACTGGGAATTGAACTGGTGACCCTTTGGTTCGCAGGTCAGCACTCAAGCTACAGAGCCACACCAGCCAGGACCGCTGATGGATTTTTATAGCCTATTATCTCCACTTGAATATAAGGTACAAAAGATGCAGAACTTTTTCCCACTGTGTTATTCCCAGGAGCCAGCACAGTGCCTGGCCCAGGGGCGGTCATCCATGAAGTTCTGCTGAATAACTGAATAGGGAGCACCTGGAGTCACGTGAGGAGAAAATGAAGTGCTATACATCAGGCTTAGCACAAGGCCTGCTACTGTGGTCATAATGTGGTCAGGGCTCGGTAAAGAGCAGCTCTCATCATTAAGCATTTCACTGTGGTAAAGGCTGCCTCGTCCTGCCCAAAAGCCCAGTGTAGAAGGGAAGCAGAAGCCAAATGCTTTGGGAGTGAACAGCAGGAACAATTTTGACATAAATCCCAGAACAAAGAACCACAGAATGGGGATTTATTTAGCCTTTGGAAAACTAGAATTTTTTGTATGTATGCTGATGCTAAATGGCAGAAAGCAAGTGCAGCATATGGTCCCATGTGGTGAGTGTGGAACACAGTGGGATGTGAGGGTGTCAAAACTTCCAACGGGCTCAGTGCCTGGTGACAGGGCAGCATGAACAGGTATTGGAATACTCTGAGAGAGCTGAGATTGACAACCCAGAGATGAATAATACTGGGAGTAAAGTGACAGTCCTTTCCTAATCTCTCCTGCTTTGTACTGCTTTCTCCACCTGCAGCAAATCCCTTCAATCTCAGCAAAATTATGGCCCTCCATCAAGGCTCAACTCTCTGGAATACTTTTCAGATAATCCCCAGTTAGACATAACTTCCCTACTACTTACCATTTTTGCCCTTGCATCTGGAGCTTTGGTTAAATAACTCTTCACTCTTATTAGACTACTGATGGTTAACTCTGTCTTTTAAAAAAGTTTTTAGTCCTGGCTGGCAAAGCTCAGTGGATTGAGCATGGGCTGCGAACCAAAGTGTTGCAGGTTCGATTCCCAGTCAGGGTACATGCCTGGGTTGCAGGCCATGACCCCCAGCAACCACACATTGATGTTTCTCTCTCTCTTTCTCCCTCCCTTCCCTCTCTAAAAATAAATAAATAAAATATTTTAAAAAGAGATAAGGTTTTAAAAAATTTAGATTTATTCATTTACTTTTAGAGAAAGGGGAAGGGAGAAAGAGAGGGAGAACAACATCAATGTGCAAGATACACACAGATGGGTTGCCTCCCACATGCCCCCAACTAGGGACCTAGCCCACAACCCAGGCATGTACCCTGACTGGGAATTGAACTGGCAGCTTTTCAGTTTGCAGGCTGGCTCTCAGTCCACTGAACCACACCAGCCAGGGCTAACTAACTCTGTCTTTATCTCCACATTTCATTGATGAATTCTGAGTATTCAGCAAGGATTATTGAATGAATAAGAAAAGAACCTTACTTCACCCATTTAGAGGGTAGGTATTCTATCCTCTGTGTTTGGAAAAACCACCAGCTCTCAAGTTATCCTGTACCAGCTCCTAGACCTCATCTTGGATTCTGCCATCAGGTTAGATCTTTAATGAGGACAAAACGATGTTCTTATGGGATAGGACAAAGAAGTAGCAGAATATGTCCAGATCCTCCGAGACACCTTGGAAGAAGGGGTCTCAGAAACAAGTAAGGAAAGAAGTGACTCCAGGTGGGATGTAAAACAATTATTTATTTATACATAACTCCTCAGAAACTTGTCAAATATGGGGTTTTCCCTCAGACCCATCTTCAGCAAGGCATTCAGTGCCCCCTTGGAAGAGGGAATAATTGTTCCAGAATGGGGCTCATCTTCCTTAATCGCAGCTAGAAGAATCAGTTGACCCCCCCACCCCCGGCCCAGGTCCTTCCATTCTCCCAGATGTATTTTTGACTTTTTTAAAAGTTCTTAGCTTATTAATCCCATCATGAAAAATCTGCACAATCACCACAGATGAAGTTACTGAAGAACATTTACTCCTGTTGTCCAGGAGTAAATGTTCTTCCAACTCACTTTTTGCAGCACCAGTACTGGCCTCTGCAGCCCCTCTTTCTTTACCCTATTCTTACATTCCTTTCCCTGTTTTCTTGAGGTATTTTCCTCTCATACAGGACATACCTTGTATGTCTATGGGTTCATTTTTCTTTGTGTGATCCCAGGAATCATGCCAAAGCCAGGTGTCTTCCCACCACCAAAATGGGTTCTGAATGCAAATACAAAGATGACACCTGATGTGGTCTTACACATTTTGGCTGGTTTTCCCTGGATTTCTGTCTTAGGTACTGTTGCCTTCCCAGAGTGAAGGACATCAATGGCTATTTGTTTCCACTGAAGTAGTGTACTGGTCATGAACTTCTGGATCCAGACAGTTACTGTATTGTTCCTGATGGTAGCTGATCTTTAAGCAGCCAGGAAGGAAAAAAAAAAAAAAGGCTTTAACTTTCTTAACCCAGAGTTTCCCATAATCTCACTCCCTTTCCAGAGATTCCTATGTGCTCCTCCCTACCACCCTTCTTACCTGAAGCTGGGAAAGTATCTTAAGCACAAGGTAAGTATGTTCCAGTTGCATCCATACACTTTGATGCTGGTGAGGTTAGTTCCTGTGCCACTAAAGGAAAAAGAGGGAGCAGAGGACACTTCTAGTGGGAGGGTGGGATGGAACTCAGTCACTTGGGGAAGAAGGCTCCTTTTCATCTCTTCCCCTCAAGTCTGCTCTTCCATCTCATTCTCAAATCTTTAGGGAAAAGAGAGAGGAGAGAGACATCACTACTTCCTCACTCCCCAGTCTGAGCCTCTGTCCCAACAGGTAAACAATTTTTTATTTGTCATCTTCTTTTTGTGTCTTCTTCAGATCCCAGGTTCTCCAGCCAGGCCTGGGGATATAATCCTCCTGGCTTGTTTCCCTCCCACTTCCTAATTCCTTGGAGACTGTTCTCAGAGAGCTGAGCCCCACTGTCATGAGACTCAAGGGGCAGGGAGTGGGAGAGAGCAAGCAGTGTGAGTCAGTCAGCATTCATGCACTGACATTGTGGCTCTTCACATGTTCACTCCTTCCTAGTCCTGTGTTTCTCAAGCTGAGACCTGGGGGAATCTACATACCCATGGGTTTCTCTTTGGGGACTTCTGAGTCCTCTTATAAAACTTGAATTTTGTGTTTTCATTTTGATGGGTTATCTTTTAAAAAATAAAAACATTCATTCTGGATGAATATTTTTTTGGCAGTTTCAGCACCTATGTTTGCATTGGGTTTTATAGTCACAATGGTGATAAGAGATCACCCAAAGAGCCAAAGTTGACCAGTTAATTCAGTTTTTCTCAATAGGGGGTCTATAGGTATGTTCTCAGTGCTTCAGTTCTAATTTATTCTTTAGATGCCAGCAAAAATAGCTCATCCTCAAGGGATATTCCCTTATCCCTTATTCACTGCCATAGCACCTCACACTTTTTCATGGCACTGCAATTGCTTATTCTCCTGGACCAGACTGGAAGTTCCATGAGAACAGGAACTGTCTGTCTCACTCACCTATGTCTCCCCAGTTCCTAGCATACTGCCTGGGAAACATAGCAGGTGCTTGACAAATACTTTGAATGAATGAATGAGTATTTGAGACACAAAAGAAGAAAAGTTCCCTGCCTTGCAGTCTATTCCAAAGGAAACACACACACACACACACACACACACACACACACACACCTTACAAAGCAATACATTTGTAGCAGATTATATAGTTCCTTTAAACTGAAAGAAGCTGATCTTTGAAGGGTCATTGGAGTGGCCCTCTTAGTTAGAGCACACATAATACAAATTAGCAATTTTTGTCTGGGGATTAGGGTACAATCAAACCTTTTGTGACTCATTCCAGATTTCCTGCCTTTCCCAGAAATCCCTGAAATGGAAAAAGGAAGAAACAGGGAGAAAAGATAGATTAATTTTTGATAGGAGCCCAGGAATTCCAAGAATCAGAGTATTTAGCCATAGGAGGAAGGAGGTGGCAGTGTACTAAGGTGACTCTGGCCCAGAACCCAGAAATAAAACTTGAAAAAAAGGTCTAGGTTAGTGAGTCTCAACACAAAACAGGGAGTGGACTGTTTTGACCCACCATCTGTGGATTATGAAACTATCTTCTGTCCTGACATGGCCCTTGTAGTATGGGGCACAATCTAGAGTGTTAAAGACCAAAATAAAGGAGCCAAAGTGAGGTTTGGAGAGTGGGATTTTCCTTTCCCAAAGAGCTGTGGTGGCCCAGCCTGTGCAGTGTGCTGGAGAAGCAAAGCTGAACCACAAAGGAACCTACATCTTCTATTAGGAGGAGGCCCAGTTCTCCACTGATAATACCCAGTGGAGCAGGTTATACCAGTTATGTGTGCAAAATATAGGATGTTCTGAAGGGGCACAAAGCAAGGTGTGAAAGGAACTGGGTGGGGTTATTCTATAGAATCATGCTATTCAAAGTGTGGTCCACGGAGCAGCAGCAGCAGAATCCAAAAGCTTGTAAAAAAATGCAGAATCACAGGGCCCATCCAACTTCCTAAATCGCAACCTGCAATTTAAGTTCCCCATGTGATTTATAGTCAAATCAAAATTTGAGAACTAAGATTTCTTGAGGAAAAGGAGCTTGGCACTGGCTGGTATGGCTCAGTGGATTGAGCCCCACCCCGCCTGCAAACCAAAAGGTCACTGGTTCGATTCCCTAGGGAACATGCCTGGGTTGCAGGTCAGGTCCCCATTGGCGGGCGCGCGAGGGGCAACCACAGGTAGATGTTTCCTTCTCTTTCTCCCCCATCTCTAAACATAAATTAATAAAAAGTAGAAGAAGAGCTTGAAGTCCATGATGAATATGAACGAAAAGGTAAGGAGAACGCTCAGGTGATCCCCTAAGGAAACAGGGCCAGTTGACGAGAAAACAGCCTGAGAGTTTATCTCGGAGCACCCTGGACTGATGGGCCAACGAGCAGATGGTTGCCTCTGACTGGAAGCTCCGAACAAAGGGATCAAGTCAACAACAAAGGGCCTGAAGCAGCCAGAAAAAAGGACGACTGGGCGGCTGTCGCTGTCGTCCACCACCAGTTCCACCATTCGCTACTCTCCGCATTCGCCCCAGTCTCCCGTTCCAGCACTTCTTCAGACTCGGTATCCTGGTCAGCCGCACTCGCCTAGCTCGGTTCGACTGGGCTTAGTTCGGTTGCTAAGGCCTGGAGCTTTTCGCTTGATTGGGGGAAATGATGTCACGCCTAAAAGGCGGGCTAACCAGACTTTTCCCGCCTCCGGATTGGCTGCCAGAAATCCGACTGGATTCGCCGTCTCGCGGGCTCCAGAATTAACTGTCAGTGTCCCTACTCCGCGGCCTCTGTGCGGGCAGTCCTCGCCGCCTGCGGCAAGACTCCGAGGGCAGCACTCAGTGAGCACTTTGCTTCGAGAGGAGAGGCGACCCGAGTGGTTCGGCCATCTCCACCCGGCTAGGGTCTTCGGCAGCCCAGTCCTTTTGGACTCGATCGGAGTCCGTACTTGGGGCAGCTCCCCGAACCGCAGGGAATTGTGGAATTTATAGTTCTGGATTAGTTCCGGGTGGAACCCAGACTCTCGCAGGATATTTGGAGGGGGCGGGGGGGGCGGAATGACGACCTTGAGGATCGAGGCCGGATCCAGAAAGACGGGAAAGGAGTCTAAAAAGGAATCCTGACAATTAGCGTTGTTTTGATTTTTTTCCCCAAGCGTTGACCTGAACCTAGTCCATCCCTTTCCGACCCAAACTGATTACCCACGAGGGAAGGGACCAGGCAGCAAAATGGAGACGCCACCAGTCAATCCAGTGGGAGAGAAAGACACCTCTCAACTGCAACAACAGTGGGGAAAGAATCCTAAGAAGAACCGTGATTCAACTATTCAAATTAGGCAGCAGGCCCAAGAGCCTCCTACTGAAGTTCTTGAGCTGAGAAGGAGCCCAGATCCAGCCAGCAAAATTCTAGAGAATCCTCAAGAGACTGAAAAACTGGCTGCTGGACTTGAAAAAAACTCTGTTAAATCTCATGGATCAGCGAGTGAAATGCCAGAGCCCCTCCAATCTTCTGATCTCTGGTACTGTCCGGATGGGAGCTTTGTCAAGAAGATTATAATCCGTGGCCATGGCTTGGACAAACCCAAGCTGGGCTCCTGCTGCCGGGTACTGGCTTTTGGGTTTCCCTTTGGGTCAGGGTTGCCAGAGGGCTGGACAGAGCTAACTATGGGGTTAGGCTCATGGAGGGAGGAAACCTGGGGAGACCTCATAGAGAAATGCTTGGAGTCCATGTGTCAAGGTGAGGAGGCAGAACTTCAGATCCCTGGGCACTCTGGACCTCCTGTTAGGCTCACACTGGCTTCCTTCACTCAGGGCCAGGACTCCTGGGAGCTGGAGGCCAGCGAGAAGGAGACCCTGGCCAAGCAAGAACATGCAAGAGGCACAGAATTATTTCGAGCTGGGAACCCTGAAGGGGCTGCGCGATGTTATGGACGGGCTCTTCGGCTGCTGCTGACTTTACCCCCACCTGGCTCTCCAGAACAAACGGTCCTTCATGCCAATCTAGCTGCCTGTCAGTTGTTGCTAGGGCAGCCCCATTTGGCAGCCCAGAGCTGTAACCGGGTGCTCGAGCGAGAACCTGAGCATTTAAAGGCCTTGTACCGAAGGGGGGTTGCCCAGGCTGCCCTTGGGAACCTGGAAAAAGCAACTGCTGACCTCAAGAAGGTGCTGGTAGTAGATCCAAAAAACCGGGCAGCCCGGGAGGAGCTGGGAAAGGTGATCTTTCAGGGGAAGAAACAGGATGCAGGACTGGCTCAGGGTCTCCGCAAGATGTTTGGCTGATTAAAAGTTAAAACTTGCCCTGGCCTGATGGTTGTTTGTTGGATCGTCGTCCTGTATGCCAACACTTTGAGGATTCTATCCTGGGTCCAGGAACATGCTGGAGGCAACTGATCGATGTTTGACCCTCACATCAATGCCCTCTTTCTCTCTTTCTCTCCTCCTTCCTCTCTCTAAAATCAATAAACATAGCCTCAGGTGAGGATTTTAAAAAAAGTTAAAAGAGACAGGAATCTGAATTGTGAACTGTGCAGTGAGAATGGTAGGGATGGGCCCAGAGGGAAGATTTCAGATGTATCTCATTCCCAGCATTTGCCTTCCTAGGGGAGGTAGCAGTGCATCGCTTTCCTTTTTTACCACTAAAAAGGCATGGTTACATATATTTTGTTGTAGGGGGCTTGGCCATTTCCGAAGATGAATAGGACTGACTGGGGGAGACAGCAGACCTTTAAATCCTGTGAACTACATGTCCCGGGAGCTTGCTCGCTGGGTCCCGCTTTGCGCATGCGCAAGAGCTAAGGCCGGTAGTAGGAGAGTGTACCGTTCCCCTCCTCTTCCACCTCCTCTTCCTCTTTTGTTCCCATTGGCTCGGCCTGTAGAGCCGCCTCTTCTATTGCTTCATGTGCTCAGCATCCAGGTCTCTTACTGGTCGTAAGAGCTTCCGGGACGCCCCCCTTTTTTGAAAAGTCAACTGATTAGTTGCTGATTGGGAGAAGCGGGCCTTGGAAACCTTGTCCGGGTTGGTTAGGGGGCGGGGGAAAGATGGCGGAGCTAATGCTCCTCAGCGAAATTGCCGACCCGACGCGATTTTTCACCGACAACTTGCTGAGCCCGGAGGACTGGGGTGTGTGGAGTGAGGCCTCGGGGATGGGGAAGGGCTATCTCATACTGTGCCCCTGAGGAAGGGGAGGCCCCAAAGAGGAAGTCTGGGTAAATGCAGAATCCACCTTTCCAAGAGGGCAGCAGGGGTGCCCGTTGTCCTTACGGGGGTGCGGGAGTTCGGGGAGACCTCCGCTCCCCGCGGAAACGTCGAGTTGTTCCGGGGTCGGGAAAGGAGGAGCTGGAGTTGTTCGGCTGTGTCAGTTTTCAAGCGAGCGGGCGGTGGGTCTGGCCCCGCCGTTCCAATGAGGGGCGGAGCGAGGGCTGTGGTGGATCCCTAGGCTGGGCCACTGGACAGCACCCCTGACATTCCGCATCTCTTACAGACTGCACCCTGTACACCGGCCTAGATGAGGTGGCCGAGGAGCAGACGCAGCTCTTCCGTTGCCCAGAGAAGGATGTCCCGGTACTGCTCCCCGAGTAGCATTGTCTCTTACCTTCCGTGGATAAGAATGAGTCCGTGGTCCTAGAACCCGGACTCATTCCCAGGCCTGAGCTCGACTGGAAGCACTCCTCCTTCCTCAGAGCCCTGCCGTCTAATATCCTCCTTTGTTCAGTTTGGCAGCAGCATACTGGATGTGGGGATGGATGTCAGCCCCCCTGAACCCCCGTGGGACCCCCTGCCTATCTTCCCAGGTAGTGCCGTTTGTGATTCCCTCATCCTTCCGGAAACCCTCATCTTCCCCGTTTCCCAGAAACTATACAATCCCGTGTCCTCCCATCTCCCCCGCACAAGTGCTTTTTAACGCTCTCCTTACATGTATCTCTTGCCTTGCCCTACTGAGGAGGTGCCTATCCGCAGTCCTTGGACACTTTTTGGACCCTTTTCAGGCTCTGCTTCCTGGTTATTTTCTAACCCCTTTTCCTTCAGATCTACAGGTGAAGTCTGAGCCATCTTCTCCCTGCTCTAACTCCTCCCTCAGCTCCGAATCATCCCATCATTCTACAGAGCCCTCCAGCCAGGTCAGAGAACCATCTCTCTACTTCTGTCCTCTGTGGCAAGGACTCTGCTCCATTCTCTTTACCCGTAGGTGCTGTGGATTAATTTATGTGTGAGGTAGGGGAGCTCCTTTCCTGCCTTTGTCATTTCTTTGACATTCTCATTTGCTACATCTCCACTCTGGTTTCTAGAAGTGAAAATAGACTCTTTAGTATATGGAGATGTATATGACAACTGTGGTGGGGCTGGGAATTCTGGAACTGTTCCTGCCCAAGATGTCCACTCTAAGGCAATGTTTGAAATCATGAGACACCATCAACCCTCCCAGGAATAAAACAGAAGGAGAGGATGAGTGGCGAGATGCTGAGTACCATTTAAACCAGAATGTCAGATAATTGGTGTTTGTAATCTGTAAAGCCTCTGTTCTTGCTCTTATTCTCAACACCTCCCTTGTTTTCTTCTTTCTGCCCTCACACTTCACCCCTACTCTCACCCAGACCCCTGGTGTAGGGGAGGTGCTGGTTGTGAAGATAGAGTCCTTGGCACCCCCACTCTGCCTCCTGGGAGACGATCCAACATCCCTGATTGAAACCGTCCAGATCAATGTGGGCCCCACCTCTGATGATCCCTCAGGTATTGACAACCTGCCCCACCCCCAGACTTTACCAGGTAGAATGCATGGGTGTGTGCACATACGTGTGTGTATGTGTGTGTGGTGGGTGGGGGCAGGTAGCAGGACTAGGAGGGTAAGGTGGGAGGGGAAATGGCAGATAACCAGGAAAGAGGCCAGGAGTGGGAGAGAGAATTTTAGGAAACCACAGCAAGGGCAGCACTGAAATGATGGGTATGATTTCTCTTTCTTTATCTTTTTCCTAGTATCCTGTTGTGTGATTTAATTTCCTGTTGCTTTGCATTTTTTACAGACTTTGGACAGTTTAGGCCATATTTACTTATGTTGTTTTTTTACTACAACATTTTATTATTAAAATTCTTTTAAACATAGAAAACTGGGAGTACTATATACTCAACTGCTAGATTCTACAATTAACATTATCTGTGCTATTTCTTTAAGTGTTGTCAAGTTCATGCACTCTTAATGTCTTTATTCAGTAAACATATATTGAGCACCTACTCTATGCCGGGTACTGGACAGGGTGCTAGGGATGCAAAAATGAAAAAGATGTGACCAATACACTGACTTGAGAATCCTGTGGTGTGGTGGGGGTGAAAGACAAGTACCAGTAAACACAGGTGTGGTGATGCTGGGATAGAGATCATCATAGGGTGCTATGAAAGCTCATAAGAAAGGGCATCTCACCAGATTGGGGCTGTGCTGCTGTGCTGAGGAAGGGTTTCCTGAGCTGAGTTTTGAAGGACACATAGAAATTAGCCAGAACGAGAATGTGGGGACTGGTATGTGTGTATAACAAACCTGCATCTCTTCTGAGTGGATATGAACAGGGAGTGGGGGATGGCAAGTTGCTGCAGAGGCTGCAGGGGCCAGGTGAGAACCCTGCTGAGGGACTTTCAGCTTCTAGCCTGTGGGCAATTGGGAGCCTTTGAAGAATCAATCAGGAGAGCAATATGACTTGGAAGGTGACTCGAATGGCAGAGGAGAGAATGGATTGCAGAGAAACAAGACTGGAGGCAGGAGGAGGAGGACCAAGGAAAAGACTTACGTGGTTAATCAAGTAAAATACTTGGATGCCAAGAGGAAGGCAGAAAGAATGAAGTGTAATGGATGAGTTGCAGTGACCTCCTGAACATTGTACAGGAGTCAAACAGGATGCCTGGGTTTCTGGCTGGGACAACCATCCAGTGGGTGATAATACTGTTCACTGGATAGTGAGCACAAGAGCAGGAGTCCTCTGATGAGGGAGCACAATGAAATCAGTGTTGGACAGGCTGATTTTTAATTTCAAAGTGCCTTCAGGGTTTCCTGGTGCTGCTTCTCCAACAAGAAGCAAGAGGGCAAGGGAGCCCGGTGATGTAGTCCATTCTTGTTTTCCTCCTGGGTTTCATAGCAGGACAGGGAAGGATGAAGATTGGATTTGGAGGAAAAGCAGATCATATCCAACACATTATTAAAAACTATAATGAAGCCCTGGCTGGTGTGGCTCAGTGCATTGAGTGCCAGCATGCGAACCAAAGGGTCTCTGGTTCGATTCCCAGTCAAGGCACATGCCAAGGTTGCAGGCCAGGTCCCTAGTAGGGGGTGTGCTAGAGGCAACCACACATTAATGTTTCTCTCCTTCTCTTTCTCCCTTTTCCTGTCTAAAAAATAAATAAAATCTTTTAAAAAATTGAAAGTTACAGCGAGGACAAACAAGAGAAGGACTGAAAAGCCTTTATAGCAAAAAGATTGTTGACTATTGGCGTCAGATTCTCTACTCTGACGTGTGTATTTTGAAGACCTGCACCTGTCGCTTTGATAGACATGAGGCACAAGGCATAGGCCCTGCTTTTGAAGAGTTTCCTGAGGGTTATAACATGGTTATAACAAGCTGTTTGTCTCATCCTGCCACCCCCCAGATGTCCAGACCAAGACAGAACCTGTCTCCCCATCTTCCTCCGTCAACTCTGAGGCTTCCTTGTTCTCAGCAGACTCGCCCAACCAGGCAAGTATCAATGTCCCATCCTCCCTCCAGGCACTACAGCGAGTTCCTACTCACTCTCAGAAGTAGGAGAGCTTCTTCAGTTCCTTCTCCTTGACACTTCTGACTCTCAAATTTTCTGGAATTCCCCTGCCCCCTATAGGCTTTTATAGGAGAGGAGATACTAGAAGTGAAGACAGAATACCCAGCTCCTCAAGGGTGTCTCCTGCAGGATGTCCCAGGCCCCCCACTTGGAGCTGTTCAGATCAGAGTGGGTCCATCTTCCGATGGCTCCTCAGGTAATGGGGCCTCTTGATCCTGGGGTCCCTGGCAAAAGGTCTACAGTCATTACATTCCTCCCCTCCCTCCCTCCCTCCCTCCCTTCCTTCCTTCCTTCCTTTCTTCCTTCCTTCCTTTCACCTTCTTTCAGGCAAAGCCCTGCCTGCCCGGAAACTACCACTGCAGCCTAAACCAGTGGCGATAACCACTGTCCCAGTGCCACCCAGCACCATGCCTCTGAGCACCGCCGTCCTTTTGCAGCCCCTTGTCCAGCCCCCCCCAGGTACTAAAGAAGGAAAGAAGGAGGCGGGCTGGATTGACCTTCTAAGGGAGCTCATGGCCACTGAGGCCTTTGGGTGCTTAGGTGTGGACACAGGACCCTACATGACTTATAGCTGTCTGACCTCTTTCTCCTGTTCACTTGCCCCAGTGTCCCCAGTTGTCCTTATTCAAGGTGCTATTCAAGTCCAGCCTGAGGGGCCAGCCCCCGCTGCTCCACGGCCTGAGAGGAAGAGCATTGTTCCAGCTCCGATGCCTGGGAACTCCTGCCCACCTGAAGTGGACGTAAGTATTGGAGAGGGGGGCTAGTAATGGGAATGGAAGAAGAAAGTCTGTCTTGGGAGAGAACTGTGGTGTGAGGAGAGAGCAGAAAGTGAGGAAGCAGACCCTTAAGATGACCCTGAAAGTCAGAATGGGCCCCTGTTCATGTATGAGCGTCAACTTCACGTAGTTTTATGATCCTTAGGTTTGTTGTCAAACTGCAGATGGAGAAGCAGGGATGGTCTCAGTAAGTCAAAGGCAGGGGAATCATTCTGTGTTATGGTCGTGACAGCAGTTGGAAGAGGGAGGCTGCTTCCTCCAGGGGAGAACCAGTTAGCAAGGTTAAACCTAGGGCCCTAAAAAAGGAGAATTGAGAAGAGGGGAAACCACCCAGCAGAGAGGAACTGAAGTTTCACTAGGAACCAGGATGGAGGAAGTTCTTCCTACAGCCTAACTTCTCTTGGCTCTGAGGTATTGTGGCGGGGGGTGGTTGAGAGGGGTCCCTCTCTCTGAAGTGTTTTAGTAGAGAGTAGAACCCCCCTCCCCTCTTTGGTGCTGTAAGGTCATGAAGGCAGGAGAGTGGCCCCCACAAGCTTTGGGCAATCAGCCCCTGGAGTTGGGGGAACAGTTCCCCTCCACTACCCGTCTTTCATTCTGGGTGCCTAGGCAAAGCTGCTGAAGCGGCAGCAGCGAATGATCAAGAACCGGGAGTCAGCTTGCCAGTCCCGGAGGAAGAAGAAGGAGTACCTGCAGGGGCTGGAGTCTCGGTTACAGGCTGTGCTCGCAGACAACCAGCAGCTGCGCCGGGAGAACGCTGCCCTTCGGCGGCGGCTGGAGATCCTGTGGGCTGAGGTGAGACACGTGTCCTTGGGAGACTCAATGGAGGCTCTTTGGGGGGGCTCACCCACCCTCTCTCCTCTTTTCCTCTGTGCCTTAGAACAGCGAGCTCAAGTTAGGGTCTGGAAACAGGAAGGTGGTCTGCATCATGGTCTTCCTTCTCTTCATTGCTTTCAACTTTGGGCCTGTCAGGTGAGACCCTCCTTGCTCCCCAGGAGCTTCGGGTGGAGCTCACCCTCAGCTACTGGATTCCTACTTTGGTGCTTTGGTGCCATCTCCCTCATCCCACTCACACACTCAGAGAGCTGTGGGATCCCTGGCACAGGGGTGTATCCAGCAGTCCCTTCTTGTTCTATCACTAATCTCACACGTGGTATGTCCTGAGGTAGGTGGTGCTGATAATGTTGATGAAAACAGACAAGTGCTTCCTGAGATGTAGCCTTTAGGTTAAGCGTGCTCCTTTTCCCTCGTTTCCTGGCCCTATGAGGTGGGCACTCTTCTCATTCCCTTCTGGCTGGTGAGGAGAGTCAGTCTTATATAACAGGGGGGTTGTGTGCGGAGCCCTTGTCCTTAACCAGCACCTCAGTAAAGCTGGAATTCTCCCTCGTGCTCTGTCCTGCCCTGTCCCCACAGCATTGTTGAGCCTCCTTCAGCTACTGTCTCTCCTTGGATGAGCGGAGAGGAGCATCGGCCCCAGAGACACTTGCTGGAGTTCTCAGCACAGTTGCCCATTCACGGAGTGGAGCCCCTCCAGGGCTCTTCTGAGGGCCCCAAGGAGTCCCGGCCCAGCCGGGAGGTCCAGGCGAGCTTCAGGTGAGGAGAGGGCCCTCTTTTAGGGGTACTGCATGTCTTCTCCCCCACGTTTATCTTTTCTTTTTGAGGGGAGCCATAGTTGCTCTTTGCCATTATGGGCTTCACTGTGGGTGGCGTGCTGGGCAGCTGCAATCACTGCCTCCTCCCTGCCTCACTCCAGGAATCTAACAGCCTTCCCCGGGGGCACCAAGGAGCTGCTGCTGAGAGACCTGGACCAGCTCTTCCTCTCCTCAGATTGCCGGCACTTCAACCGAACTGAGTCCCTGAGGTGGGACGCACTGCTGGGGCACCTTCCCGACCATTCATTCTGTCCGTGTGTTCTAGAACACCAGCTCTCCTTCCTATTCTGCTCCCTCCTGTTGTGGGCAAGGGAAGTGGGAGCCTTGGACTGGCGCAGAGCTGTTCCCCTCCTGTGCTTCCGCAGGCTTGCTGATGAGCTGAGCGGCTGGGTGCAGCGCCACCAGAGAGGCCGGCGGAAGATGCCCCGGGGGGGCCAGGAGAGACAGGTAGACAAGGGCATAGTGTCCTGGGGGTTTCAAGAGAGCACGTTTCAACCTGGGGGTTTCAAGGATGTCCACAAGGACATCCTTGTGGAGGCTTGAGGAAGCGGCAGGGTGGGTGTTAGGTGGCGTCAGCTTCCAGGGGCTGTCTTGCCGTCTCTCTTTCCCTTCTCCCTTCGCCCTCTTCAAATCCTTAGACACTTCTCCTTCTAGAAGTCTCAGCGACAGAAGAATTTGCCTCCAGTTAAGGCAGTCCCCACCCAACCCCCCGGGCCCCCGGAAAGGTGAGTCTAGGGGGTGTGCTTCCTTATTAAGTGAAGTTCTGCTCAGAAAAGCTATATCCCCAGGAGCTATCCAGTGCTTGTCACCACTGCCACCAGTGTCATCATGCTTCCCTCATCCATTGGGGGTCTCTTGTCTTTTCTCTCATCTTTTCCCTGCTTCCCAATGGGAATGGGGTACTGGGCTTAGTTTCTCCCAAATCCTGCTTTTTCACCTGCCTAGGGACTCTGTGGGCCAACTGCAGCTGTATCGCCGCCCAGACCGTTCACAGCCAGAGTTCCTGGATGCAATTGACCGACGGGAAGACACGTTTTATGTTGTTTCCTTCAGGCGGGTGAGCCCCTCCTCCCTGCCCATCCCCACCATCCTGGGTGTCCCAGCAGTGTGTGTTCAGGTTGAGGTGGGGAGGAGATCCAGGCAGCCTGCTGGTGTCTTCTCCTCCACCCTCCTGGCCTGGCCCCTCTTGCTCCCCAGGACCACTTGCTACTCCCAGCCATCAGCCACAATAAGACCTCTCGGCCCAAGATGTCCCTGGTGATGCCTGCCATGGCCCCCAATGGTAATTCTTTTCCTACTAGGGGTGGGGCAGGGTCCTGAAGTGAGGAAGGGGGCGTTCCAGTAGGGATATCCAGCATGAGGAGCTGAGGGGGGTGTGGAGGGGAGTGAGGTGATCCAGAGAAGTGCTAGATTCTTAGGTGAGGGGAAACAGGAAATGGGTGTGGAGCAGAACGAAGTACAGGAGACTGATGGGAGGAAGGCGATGCGAGGGACCGCCCTTGATGAAGGTGCTTGAGTAGGTGCTGGGCAGAAGGGCGTGGGCTGGGAACCTGCCAGACTCTTACCTCCTTTTTTCTCTTGATGTCCTCTCCTCTGTGACCTCACACTTATCGATGTCATTCTTTTCTTTTCCCTTCCCTCTCCCTGCACCAACTCCATCCCTACTCTCTCATTAACTCCTGCTATGGACCTGCCTGGTCACCACCATCCTTTCTTCCCCATCCACTTCTGCTTCTGTGACCTCCTCCTCTCTGTTTGCCTCCATCTTCTCCTCTTCCTTAACTCCCTTTCTCACAGAGACCCTGTCAGGCCAGGGGGCCCTTGGGGACTATGAGGAGATGATGCAGATCGAGTGTGAGGTCATGGACACCAGGGTGATTCACATCAAGACCTCCACGGTGCCCCCCTCGCTCCGAAAACAACCGTCCTCGACCCCGGGCAATGCCACAGGTGGCCCCTTGCCAGCTTCTGCAGCCAGCCAGGCCCACCAGGCTACCCATCAGCCTATCTACCTCAATCACCCCTGACCTCTGCCTCTCACACTGACTCAGCGCTGGGGGTGGGAGAGGTTGTCACTAAGTGGGACTGTTTCTCATCTCCCCGATCCGTGCACTTGGGTAATTGGCCGTGGAGGGACAGGCTGTGGGGTTAAACACTTATTTGGAGGTGAAGGGGTTCACCTCTCTTCTCACTCCTTTTTGGAACATAGGGCTCTTCTCATTTCTCTGAACCCCCAGCCCCTGCTCTTTGATCAAAGTTATTGAGTGAGGGTAAGGGGGCCCTTGGTGGGCTCTTGATTCTTTTGTTTCTGTTTGGGATGTGGAGGTGGGAGTGTAGTCCCTACCTAGGCAGGGTGAGGGCCACTTTTATGTTTTGGAACTCATTTCTGGGCATAAAGGAAGGGTGATGAGGAAGATCAGATTTATGTATGTGCATCTCTTTTTTTAATTATTAAATAAACAACTTGGAGGGAGTTAAAGGAATGGTGGCTGCCTTCCTGGCTCGTGGCGGGGCACCTGGGGGGAAGTGGCTTCTCTAGGGCCAGTGTATCAGAGTGAAGCACTGGAGGCAGCTGGCTCTGGGGTGGGGTGGGTGTGGGATTATAGACCTCATGTCATCCCCTGTCCTGCAACACTGGGGTATGTCTGTGGGAGGGGTGGGGAGGGGAGGGATGTCCCATGGTGTGACAGCACAGAGGATACAGATCCCTGGAATGTGTCTTAGTAAACAGGAAGGACAGGGGGCCCCACGCCCTTTGGGGTGAGCAGCCTCCCAGGGTCCCCTGCATTCTAGCAGGTTCTCCCTCCCTCGCTGCACTTCCAGGACAAGCAATTGAGCTGGGGCCCCAGGGCTGTGAGCCAGAAAGGAGGGGTCGAAATGGAGAAGCGGTGGCGTTCAGAGGGGAGGGGATGTTGAGCATCTTTTTAGCCCTGAACTGGAGAAGACTGAGACTTCAGGGTCCAGTTGAAAGAAAAGGACAAGAGCAGATCTGACAGAAATGGCTGTGCCTTCCGATTAGCAGGAAGGGGAGCAGGACGAAGAGTGAGACCAAATCTCACTCAACCTGTGGGGATCCCCATAAGCGGCTCCTGTCCAGCAGTGCCTCTGACTCCCTCGGGAGTGCCCTGGGTCAGCTAGAGGGTGTGGGCTGGGCCTGGGCTCAACGCCCGGATGACTGGACAGGGGCCACCCGGGCCACAAGCCCAGGCCTGAAGGAGAGGAAAGAACCTCACGTGTCCAGCCAGGCTCCCCCCTCTCCATTGCTGTGTTTGGGGTGAAAACAGAGTAACTGTGGCAACCTTGAGGGCAGCCCTGGCTCCTCAGCCAGCACCTCCTGTCCCAGGGTCCCTTAAGCCTTACCCAGCCCTATCCAGGCAGTGAGTGCAAGAACAAGGATCACCTGAGCTGGTGATTCTTCAATGTTCTTGCTGTGTAACTCTAAGCCTTAGTTTTCTCATCTGTTAAATGGGGTGTCTCTACTTGCTTTTCATTTTTGATGTGAGAGAGAAAGATGCTGTTCACAGTGTCTGGTTCATGGCAGACACACTTTTCCTTGCCTCTGCTTCTTGCTTCATTTACATTGTCCTTTTCTCCTCTGGTCTCCTTTTCCCTGAGTCCATCGTTGTTTCATTGTCCCATTGCTCTTCCCCTTTCCTGACCCCAGCTTGGGAAAGTACTTGAAATGCTGCCATCTCAGACTGGGGGCTCTGGGCCGGGGCATGTGACTCTTCTGGCTGAGTGGCAAGGGACAGCTGTACTTTGGTGTGAATTGGGAGACTCTTGGCTGAGAGAGTGGGTGGTGGGAAGAATAAGAGGCGTAGAGGGTGGGTACGCTTTGGGGGGTGGAGGCAGAGCATCTCTGGGCCTAAGAGGATCTCCAGCCACAGCACTCATCCTAGGCCACCTCAGCCTGCCGGCCGCTGTCACTCCTGTACCTCCTGTTGGCCCCTCCTGTCACAGGCCCACTTTGTCTTTCTGGCCTGCTGCTTTCCTTCTTCAGGATCTTGCCTTTTGTTCTAATCATCCCTGACCCATTGTCTCCTCCTCCTCTTTTCTCTAGATTTTTTTCCTGCCTTTCTTTGTCCTCTGCCCCTGCCCCCTCAGACCATCACCTCCTTTTGACCCATTATTCCTTGTTCATCTTTTTGTTTCTTGCTTCTTTCAAGGAAAGAAGGAAACATAATTTCCTTCCTCCCCCTTTGCTTCATTCTCTTCTCTCTCTTTTCTCTTGGTCTTTTCATCTCCTGAAGAGCCTGTGCTACCTCCTCCCTTTTCATGCGCCGCCCCGCCCCGCCCCCCCCCCTGCATTTCCCTATTCACCGCTTTGTCCACATTCCTTGTCCCTCTCCATGACTTCCTCTCTTCTCCTGCTTCAGTCTCCCCCCCTCACTTCCCGCTCCAGCCCTCTGTGCTCTCCAGCTGTGGGGGCCAGGACTTGAGAGCCTAATGTTTGCCTCATCGTTGTGCTATGGCTTCTGGATACAGCACATCTGGATTCCGGGGCCCAGATGTGTGGTTGCCACGGCGACCTCAGTCCCTCTGGTAAATATGGGCGCCCACCCGCCCCAGAGCAGAGAACAAAACAATTGTGTGACTTTCTTTTGTCATGAGATAGAAATGTCCTTCCTCCTCCCTTCTCCCCACACCCATGTCTGCAGGCAAAGGAAGTTCTGAGGGTCCAAATCTTTCTCCCTGTGGCTCTTGGCTCCATTTAGCCTGAATCTCTTAGTTCTCTCCCATCTTCGTCTCAGTCAGTCTTTTCTGTCCATGTTCCCTTTCCTCTCCATCTCCTAGCCCCAAATGTCAATGAAATGGTGATCCCCCGTCTTATACTTGGCAGTGTCTTCTAACTGAATCTATATAATAACAATGCAGAAAGAAGTTTTTAAATCCAAATCATCCACTCCTCCTTCTCAAACAAAGTCCTTCCAGGAGCCCCTTCATTTGTGTCTGCCTCAAGTCTTCTGTCTTTCCAGGGTTCCTCTGTGGGGAGGGGAGAGAATACAGGCTTTGGGATCAGAGAACCTGAGTCGAGGCCCACCTTCACCACCACTAGCAAGGTCCCTTGGAAAAGTCGCTTGCCCTCTTTGAGCCTCGGTTTAACCAAATGCGGGTGCACTGCAGAAAGTGCTTTGTAGGGGGCTCCCATACAGATGTTCTCTGTCTTTCCCTCTTGGGGACTGCTTCCTTGGGTCACAGCTCCTTCCCTCCTCCTCATTTTTCAGGTCCTTGCCCTTAATTAGCCCTTATTCTTCTTTGTCTTCCTTCCCTTCTCCCTGTCTTTCCCGTTCCTTCCTGTCTGTGTCTTCTATCCCTTATCCTTTTGAGGTCAGTACAGGAACTTGGAGGTTCATTCAAGGATGGAAGCCCAGAGCTGAAGACACACCTGGACTGAGGGTTCAGAGCACAGCCAGAGCGTGTGGACAGTTCCCGACAGCACCCCTTTCTAAGCCTGTCATCCGGAACCCCTCAGAGAAGGCAACCTTGTTCTGACCACTAGACATCCCTGCCCTCACACCTGGGGTTCCCTACCAGACACCCTTTCCCCCATCTTTCCCAATCCTTTCACAATTCAGTTTTTTTTTTAAATAAGTGTATTTAGAAAGTTACAGAGGTAGAAGTGAGCCAGCTGGGCTGTATAGGCTTAGGAAACAAGTTACAGAGGCAGAAGTAGGGCACTTGGAGCTTAGGAGAAAGGGAGAGGCTGTGTGCTAGGAGGGAAGGAGAGAGGGATGGGAAAGGCTCAGGCAGGCCCCCTGAGAGGGAGAGCATGCCTCATAGTTCAGTGCTGAGGAGCACTTACGAGGCACCTGCCCTGTGCAAGACCTGGTGCTTTCCCGATGAGATACAACCATGTGAGCCATGAATTCCTGGGGAGACAAAAGCCTGAAATTCAGAGGCCTTGAAATTTTTATTTCCCTGGGTTTCAAATCCAGGGGAATCAAATCTTAGGCAGTAGCTATCTCAGAAGCTGGAATTATGTCTGTCAAGCTTCCAGTGGCTTTCTCAAATGCCTTGTAAGCTTGTACAGGTCTGGAATCCTGCACTCCTCTCTGAGACTCTGGCATCCCGTCTGTACTCAGCAATGGACTTCCAGGACACCCCAGGGCCATTCTTCTAGCTCCCGCTCTTCTCCAGGGTCTCTTGGCCTCTCTCTGGGCAACTATACTTATGGTGGCCATACTTCCTAAATAATAAAGCCAAAATATGCGGCACAGAACCAAAAAAATGGGTAGGACCATGGGACAGAATTACTGAAATCTGGGGTATCAGAGAGAACCATCCTCTGTGCAGCTGCCTCTCCCTGTGTGGTACTGCTTCGGACCCTCGCCCTGGCTCTACTTTCCCCTACTCCTGCCCAGAGATCTCCGGGAAGCTGTGGGGGCTTTGGGCCAAGGCAGCGGAAGGAAGCTGCACCCAGCTCCATCCAAGATTATGACTTCATTTTCCCCGTCAAAGCCAGGAAAAAACACACACACACACCCAGACACTGAGACACCCTCGTGAGAGCCCATACAAGCCTGTCCCCAGCCCCAGGGAGCTCACTGGCCACCTGTTCTAGCTCAGCATGCCCTGACCCAGGAACGCTGCACACCTGTGACCTGGCTGTGGACAGCTGTTCCTCAACCCCAGTGGCAGAATCAGGCACATACAGGCTCCTGTGCGTCCCTTGCACTTGTGACTTGGCCGGTCTGCTCAGCAGTGAGGTGTGTAACAGGGCAGGTAGAACTCTCCTCACTGTGAAACCTGGTGTGGAGTCTCCTTTACAGCCCCTCATCAGGGCAGTGAGCACATGGGGAAAGGAGGCTAGAGAAACAGCCAGCAGCCTGATGCGGGTGTATATGATGCCCCTCCTCTTGAATTGGTCTTTGAATCTCTGCCTGAGATCGAAGTGCCCTTTTCCTCTAGCCCCCAACCCACCCTATCCTGTTCCTTCATCCCTGTAGCCACCAGACATTACACCCTTCTGCTTTTCCCCCATACCTGCCTCCTGCTTCTGGCTCTCTCCGTGACTAAACCTTCCTCCTAACTTTCAGGCTTCTCTTCCCTGTCTCCCCTGAACCCCAACTGCTCTCCAAAATCTTGTATGCCCTGGTGTTCAGCCAGTGCTCCAGCCTCATCTGCCATTAGTCTAGAAATTTGCTGAAGTGGGAGAGTAAAAGGGGAGGGGCAGTGATCTGTTCGGAGAAGAGGTGGATTGAGTAAAGCAGGCGGAAAAGGCAGCACAGGGCAGGGAACGCAGAAGGGAGACCACCTAATACCAGGCAGGATGCAGATGGGAACGGTGGGCAGGGCGCGAACAAGTAGTCCCTGAGAAGGCTGCACGCCGGGAGGGAAGTTTCCTCCTGCCCCATGCCCCCAGGAGAGAAGTGTTGGTGCAGGACAGGAGCGGTGCTAGCGCCACGCAGACGGGGAGCAGTGTGGCAGCTGGAAGAGATGGGAGGGGAGGTGCAGGGAAGGAAGAGAGAGGGGCTGTCTGTGGGGAAGGTTGTTGGTAGAGAGGAGAGAGCAGGAGCAATAGGTGGGGAAGTGGGTGGGGCAGGTGGAATAGCACAAGGGTGGGGAGGATGTCAAGTTAGGCAAAAATTAGGCTGGGGAAGAAGAGTAAGAATGGGATGGGGAAGAGACGAAGGAGGTGGGAACAAGGATGGAGGGGGCAAGATGAGGGCATTGGACTCAGTGATCCCAGACAGAGGGGATCAGCGGTGAGTCGGGAGGAGAGGAGGGGCATGTGATGACTTTGGAGGGCCTGGGAGGGGTGGGAGGACCTGCTGTATCTCCGCTCCCCTCCCTGACCTCATACTGGTCCTCCCCTTCTCCTCCCCCTGCTCTCTACAGCCTCCCTCCTCCTCACTGTCGCTGGCTGCCTAGATAGACGGGCTGTGGCTCAGTGAGCCCCACTGCAGGGAACAAGCAAGGGACACCCAGGAGCTCAGGGCAGCCAAAGAGAGCCAGGCTGCCAAAGGGGAGCCCACCCTGCCCTGCCCTGAGGGCCCACCTCCTGAGGCTGGGGACAGAACAGGTGCAGAGGCACTGCAGCTGCTCATTGCCCAGGTAAGGAACAGAGCTCTGGGGAGACTGAGGGAAGAGTTGGGAGACGTGGGGGCTCTATTCTATCCCTACACCCCAGGCAAAGGTTGGCACAGTTACTCTCAAGGGACTCTCTCCCCAGCAGGGACTTTTTGTTGGTGCAGTGAAAATAGGACTGTGCACTGTGGGCTGGACTCCCTGGGGAGGGAACATCTGGGAGGAAGGTTAGTGCATGGATGGAGAGGTGGGCCAGATCACATGGTGAAGATCTGGGTGAAGGTAGTTATCAGTTAAGTAGGGGACTGGGCCCCAGAGGTGCTGGGGGAAAGCAGGGACTGGCTGAGCTGATGGAACCCCACATGCTCTGGCTGGAGCAGCTGAGCCTGACAGAACTCAAGAAGGTTCCAGAAGCTTCTTTGGGCATCCAGATGGGGACTGCCAGGTGATAGCACGTGGGTGGCAGGGCCTGGGAGGGAGGGTTGGGGGTCTTGAGCCTTTAGGAAATGCTAGAATGGAGCAGAGTCAGGATTCCCAGGTCTGAGATGGGCATAGAGCCTGCAGAGAGGATCTTAAAACTTGTTTTTGGCAGAGAGCTCAGCACCCATGACTCATGGTTCAGCAGGGGTGGGATGACTGAGAGATGCCTCTAGGGGCACAAGGGCTCCCTCTTCAATCCCCTTCCAGGCTCCCCCTGCGTCTGTCTGTCTGAACATCCCTCCCCCATACACGTGACACACCCCGGGTGGGGCGGGCGGGCCCCTTATCTTGTCTGGAAAGAATTTCATGGCTTGGAAACAACTGGAAATGAACTGAGAGGAATTACTGGGAAGCAACTAGGAAACATCAAACACCGCAGCTGCTGTTTGTCCTTTTCCAGTCTCCGCCCACTTCCCAGATCCCCAGCCTTTTCCCCTCCTTCCCAGTCCAGCCTCCAAATTCCTGAGGACCTAGCACCTCAATTCCTCAAATTTCCTTATCCCTGAGTCCTGGTCACTCAATGCAGGACCAAAACCTGCTTTTCTGTCTCTCACTGCCCCTGCCCTGAGGCTTGGGGGTGGTTTGGAAATCCTGTCTCTTAACGTTTCCATTTGCTGGCCAATTAGCTCCCCAGAATATGGGACATCTGATCCCCAAACATGGCCCTTGCCTGGCACCTCTTTGCCACCTGGTTCCAATATTTGGATCCCCTTCATCTCCCTCCTTTCACATTCCTAGAATCCTTCTACCTCCACCCCTCATGTGGCAGGAGTGGCAAAGGGAGGTATGGGGACATCTCTCATGGAGCTCTCTTCGTGGAAGACAGTTCTCTTCATGGAAGCCAGCCTCTCTCCCCACCTCTTGGGAGCAACAGTCCCTGATGAGTGAAGTGTCAGAGTTGGCCACAACATGAATACCCTGCACAATGAGTCACAGCTTGGGAAGATGCCCCAACCCCTGCCAGCCCTCCCGCTGTGGGGAGGATACCAAGAGGGAGAAGCCATGTCCCCCTCCCCGCTGCAGAAAGGCTCCCCCGCACTGCGGTTGGGGCATGAAGGTGGAAACACAATAGACACCCAAGTTCCTTGCTTTCCTAGTGTTGAGAGAAGAGAACTCTTCCAGAAGCTGGAAGTAGGGACTGGAGGGGGGCGGGGGGTGCGGGGGGGGGAGGGGGCAGTGACTGGGCAGGAGAAACTGGGAAGGAGGCTCTGGGGGTGTGGCTGGTGGGGGCCACTCCTGTGCTCAGCCTCACTGTTTTCCAACTACAGGGAAAGATGTGGGGTCCAGTTGCGGGGAGGGTACTGGACAACTCCCAAAGGCCTCCAGAGGAGTGGGGCCCCTGGTAGCCTTGTCCCCCTCAAGAAGGGCCTCCCATTTGATTCTCCTCACTCTGTCTAAGTTCTTTGACTCACATAGCTGCCTTCTGAGCCAAGGAGAAATCAGTACTCTGAGTGTGGAGGATTGTGAAGGGGAGATTGTGTGTGTGTGACCCATCTGCAAAGATGCAGGCTATATTTGTATTTGTGGATGAGCACACACAATTGCATGTATACATGTGTGTGTGTACCTGCATGCACCCTGTGATTTTCATGGCCTTAGACACAGAGTGACAGGATTTGATGGTAGGTACTCACCTCATACCCAAGACTACACACAAGCTGAGAGACAGGATGCAGGGCCCAAGGAAGGGCAGCTCTCCATGTGCCAGGCCTCTCTGCCCAGGCTTTCTTGGGCAGGGTGCTCTCAGTGCACAAATATTCCATCTGTTGTCCAGCTCCCTTTCGCCTTTTGTGGGCTGGTGGCCCTGTGCGATGGCCAGTAGTCCTGTAAAACTCCTTTTCCTCAAACTTAGAGGAGAAGTTTAAGAGTAGGAAGCCAGTAAACGTATGTGTGTGGGAGAAGGGCGCTGTCACTGTCCCCTTCCCTCCTCTCCAGTCAGCATGTCCACCCCTCCCCCTGCCCTTTTCTCTCCAGCCTCTCAGGTCTGGAAGAGCCACAGTCCACACCTCTCTTTAACCCTTGTCCTGACCGGAACTTGGACCACCCCCTGGACACTCCCATTCTCCAGGGCCCTCTCCTAGCTCACCCTTAGCACACACCGTCTCTCTAAACCTTTCCCTGTGCTCCTCAGTGAATTCCACAGACAGACACAACTGGGTAGCCAGCACCTTGATCCAGAAGTAAGACATTCTTTTTGTTTTTAAAGATTTTATTTATTTTTAGAAAGAGAAGAAAGGAGGGAGAAAGGGAGAGAAACATGAATCAGTTACCTGCTCTGACTGGACCAGACAAACCTGCAACCCAGCCATGTGCCCTGACCAGAAATAGACTTGACCTTCTGCTTTGCAGAATAATACCCAGCGAACTGAGCCGCTCAGGTCAAGACAAAATAGGACATTCTTAGCACCCCAGAATTTCCCCACCATGCCCCAAAGACTTGTAACTTGTGCTTCTGACTTGTAACACTGCAGTTTAGTGTTGTCGCTCTTCAAACTTCACATAAATAGAATTTTTCAGCATGTTCTCATTTGTGTCTGGCTGTATTTGCTCAATCCTATATTAGTGAGATCCGTCCATATGATTGCATATATCTGTAGTAGTCTCATTGCTTTATTTCATTCCACTGTGTGAATAATCCACTTTATTTAATCCAGTCCACTGATGTGAGACATTTGGGTAGTTTGCAGTTTGAGGCCATTATGAGTAGTACTGTATGGTCAGTGTATTCCTAGGAGTGGAATTGCTGGGTCATAGCATTTGCATATAGCTTTAGTACAGCCTGCCAAACAGTTTTCCAAAGTGTTTGTACCATCTGGGTCTTCCAGGATCCGCACCTGGCCAGCACTCTGCCCCAGCTGCTGTTCCTAACCATCTTCCAGTCCCCGACACTCCATGGTCCTAGCCCTGACCTTGGTTCTATCCTTTGTTTCAGCTCTAAAGCTAGTCTTGGGCTTAAAGTGAACTTTTCATTCAATCATATAGTCAATAAATATTTATTGGGCACAGATGCAGCCAAGAAATAAATAAACACAGCTGCCATACCACCACCACGGACTTTACATTTTTACAGGCTAGCGTGCAAGATGGAGTGTGGGCAAGAAAGTAATAAAATCTCACAAGTAAATCTGTGATTACAAAATGTTAAAAAAGCTACAAATGAGAGTTGTGTGGTGCTGTGATGTCACATGATAGTGGGACCTGACCTGGGCAGGAAAGCTTCCTGAGGAAGTGATGCAGGGCTGAGCCCTGAAGGATGACGAGGGCACAAGAAAAGGGAAGAGTGGGCCACATGGAGGGAACCGCGTATACAAAGGTCTGGGGTTGGGAAGAGAATGAGGGGCTTTCAGAAGGCCTGTGGGACTGGAATAGAGAGAGGGAGGGGAGTGTTGTGGGAGATGAGGTGAGAAGAGTCAACACGCCAGATGATGCGGGGCTGTCTGTCAGTGTTGGAAGAAAATTCAGAAGGGAGACACTGCAGAGTCTTTATGGGGGGAGGGACATCCTAGTTGCCTTCTCAGAATTGTAAAGGGCAAGAGTGGGAGCAGAGGGACCAGCCAAGAGGCAACTTCAGTTGTCAAGCAAAAGGTGGATGGGAGGCTGGACTATAACATTGGTAAGAGGGAGAAAAATGTGCAAACTGAAGAGATTTTCACAAGAAAACATGGGTAAATATAATGAAATATGAAGATGTTGAATGGGCTGTTAGGTCTCTGGCTTATAAAACTGGATGAATGATGGGCCACGAGCTCAGTGGAAAACACTGAGAGTGGATGAGGCTCTGGAAGGACCATCATGAGCTCCGTTTCAGACACCCTGAATTCGGGGTGCTCCAGGGGAGATACCAAGTAGGCAGTTGGATATATTGCTTGGAGTTAAGAGGAGATGACTACCCTAGTTTATACTTTGGAGTATACATAGGAAATTCAAGCCATAGGTCTGGAAGAAGGTATCTAGGTGGGTGACTAGAGTAGTAGGTCTCAACTCTGGCTGCACACTACAATCACCTGGGGAGCTTTTAAAAAGCACTGAATAAAATCCAGTGCTTCAGTCATTCTTGCCACATGTCAAGTGTTCAAGCCACATATTTCTCCTGGCTACCATATTGATAGCACAAATAGAGAATGTTCTGTTTTAAATATTTTATTGATTATGCTATTACAGTTGCCTCAATTTTCCCCCTTTGCCCCCCTCCACCCAGCACCCTCCACTCCCTCAGGCAACCCCCACACCTTTGTTCATGTCCATGGGTCATATGTATAAATTCTTTGGCTAGTCTGTTTCCTTTTTTTTTTTTTTAGATTTTATTTCTTTATTTTTAGACAGAGGATAAGGGAAGGAAAAAGGGGGAAAAACATCTATGTGCAGTTGCCTCTTACACACCCCCAGCCAGGGACCTAGCCCACAACCCAGGCATGTACCCAGACTAGAAATCAAACCAGCGACCCTTTGGTTCCCAGGCTGGTGCTCAATCCACTGAGTCATACCAGCCAGGCCTCTATTTGTAATTCTTAATCCTCTCACCTCTTCACCCTTTCCCCCACACCCTT